TCAAAATATCAGTGTGAAATTTAATTTTGACAAACCCGAAACCCGAAAACCAAAAACCGGGTTTCAGCTCGACGGTCGGGGCCCGGGCGGGGACCCGTTTCGACTCAGGCCTACTCGTTTTCCCCAATAAACTGTAGTGTTATGAAAACCGTTTGGCAAACACAAAATTTGGTTTCGATTTCCAATCGTAAATATCTTGATAATCAGACAGGCGATCGGATTGTAAAAGTCATTGAGTTCCTGACTGACCTAAATTTATCATTGCAGCATGAGCTAAATCCAGGATTTTGTTTCAGAATCTGAGAGTAAGTTACCCGATCCCTTTAAATGTGTTTGCATTAAAGGTGGTACCCCCCCCCCCCCTTCTCAGCAAAAGTCCAGTGTGTAAAGTCAATACGGGCAGATCTTTTTCTTTGTTACGAGCCAGAGATTTTGGGAACACGCATGCGGTACCTCCGTTCCCGTTCCTGGAGGGGGGGGGGGGGCGGGGGTGGTACTAGTACTTCTTCATAAGATGTCAACTTATATGCATTGCATTAAACCTGTTGATATTGATCTAACTTGTATTCATCTCATGGTTATATTTATTTTATCAATAAAATAAAACAACACAGAGAAGGTTGTAGACGAGTACTAAGCAATCATTACTGTATGTAGGACGCCGAGTTGAAGTTATTCATGATTTATTCAAGAGAGGAAGGTCAGACAGACCTGATGTTTTAAATATTTAACGAGAGAAAAATCATAGAAACAGAGAGAGGCATCGAGAGAGATGTCGACGCTTAATGAAAGAGAAAGAGTGATAATAAGGAGAGAGGAGAGAGACAGAGAGGGGAGGGAGAGATAGAGAGGGAGAGCAAGAATTAGGTGTGAAGAGGAAGATCTAAGAGAACAAGAGATTAAATTTTACAAATGTACACGTTTCCATGTACCTTTACTTAATTTATATTATAATGTAAACGATATTGTGATGGTCTTTGCTTAATTTTAGTTTGCATTCTTTCCTTTAGCTTTATCTTCTAATTTACTATTCTAATTTAGTAAATGTTAGTATAAATATAATTTTGATTTCTATCTCTTCCCCTATGTCATAGCCTCCATTCTTGCTCTCCCTTCCTCATGTTAGTCCATCTCTCTTTCTCTCTCTCTGTAATGATAACCCCTCTATCAATCTTTTCTCCATCAACTCATGATATGTTCCTCCTCTTCTCCTTCTCGTTCATCATCACAATCATCATCATCATCTCAAAACTGTATTAATCAATCTATAAGACTCTTTAGATTGATCAATACAGTTCTTATAACATATGACCTTTATGTACAAACAATAAACCAAATGGTCACAATCATTTAATAAAAAGTGGTAAGAACAATTATTCCAACTCTATGGGCAACAACGTAATCTCCATTTTCTCCTCCTCGTTCAAATATTAGCTTCTTTTTCATTCTTTACTCGTGTTACTTCTCTATCTCTCTGACTATACTCACAAGAAAGTAGAATCAACGGTTTGACATGAAACAGTCTAGAAAATGAACTAAATTTATTCAAGTATCAAATGATTTTGAATTACAGACAGCTTTCTCCCACGAGATGAAAAAAATATCTCCCTAACCAGAAACTGGCAAAATAACTAAATGCCTTTCCCTCTTTGTAGTCTCTCATTCTTCCCTCTAGTGATGGAGGGTCCTTATCTACTAGTTACACACAAATGTCTCTATACATAGTAGACGACCAGCTCTGCAGTCTGAATGCCTTTCTCCCCCCCCCCCCCCCCCGCCCCCTCTCCATCCATCGTCCAGTTTATCTCTACCTCGGATGGCTGAACAGTACCCCAGAGTCAAGGCAGAGAGCACCCATAAAATACTGACTACCGGTACTCGATTTCCAAGCTTGAGTCCCCTCCTTGTAGAAAGTCACGTAACACTTCTGTTGTCCATTGTGAAATGAGCTCTCTCGTAGCATCTACGTTATCTTCTGATTCATGGGTCATAGGTCTAGTGTTCGATGATGCTGCAACTGATAAATAAAAGGGAAAAGAAAATCAAATTTAAGTTTGTGACCAAAGAACCCTCATCACTTCTTCAACACTAGATCATGTAGCAGACGTGTATGCAGGGGGGAGGGAGTTTCGGGGGTTGAACCCCCCCCCCCTCCCCTCTTCCAATTTTGTTTAGACTATGTGTGTGTGTGTTTTTGAGGAAACCCCCCCCCCCTCACTTTTTTAATAACAAAAATAAATTAAACATTTTTTGTGCTAAAGGGTGACCCAAAAAAGGTGACCTTACCCCCCACCTACTGAACAAAATATCGGTCTCCCAAATTTCATATTTTCGGGGAAAAAAAGAAGGAAAAAAAAAGGTGCTCTTACCACCCCCGGCTTATTCACCGGCTGGCCGAGTCGTTGTGAAATTGACTGCGTGATTTTCAAATTTTACCCCCCGGCCCCCCCCCCCCCTCGAAAAAATCCTCTGTACGCCCCCGTCATGTAGATCCTCAAGTAGAGCTCATTGATATCAGACTATTATATTCAGATCCAGATCGAAAAAATCTATCGTTTTCATGGCCTCTTTTACTTTCTTACATTTAATTTCTAATTGCAATCACTTTCTAGGCCTAACTGTCGGCCATTCTAGTAGACCCTATTCCATTATCAATTATAGGATCTAGAAAGTCTATTCATATTTCATGAGACATAAATCTCATATTACTGTACATTTCTACCTAAAACACGAGACGAGTGTACTTAAGCAGCTTAAAAGACAATCAGTCTACTTAAAATGCACACACATTTGAACATACGGGACTAGATCTAGGCCTACATTTACTAAAGTTGGATCTCGGCCCACTCTCATTACGTCGTATTATCAGCTTTATTTGTCATAAAAATGAATAACCACAAACTTTGGTTTTCTTACCGTACAAATGATACTGGATTGGAAGAAAATCACTGCAGAATAGCGGACTATGTACAAGATTATGATGTTGATTCGATACGAATCCCGTTGTTTGCAACAGGACAGCTGATCACGGCGAAGGTGAAAATGGACTAGAATTATGTCCCGGCATGCTTTGCGATGAAACAACCGTGAAGGCACGTATTAGGGTTAAACGTGTGATGTCACAATGCTTATCTACCTTAACGGCGCATATACTTTCGATTGAACATGTGATGTCACAATGCTTATCTACCTAAACGGCGCATACTTTCGATTGGACGTGTAATGTCACGATGCTTATCTACCTAAACGGCGCGTGCGCAATGGCCCATCAAAAATCCGGATTTTAGTTATCCGGATTATTCGTAGCCTGTCTGTCACCGACTCAAATGAAAAAACTAGATTTCTAAAATCTGGTTTATTCAAGATGGGTCGGGATTTTTCTGTGTGACACCGCCTTGTCTGCAAAATCAGCTGTTTTAATTATGTAAAATTCACTTTAAATAGACCTTATTGCCGATGTGGGATATAAAACAAATATTAACCTCCTTTACTCGGGCAATGGATACAAACTATCATCGTCTCGGTGATCTCGGGTCTACCATCTTCCCTCGCCTTGCGGCTCGGGAAGATAGTGCTTACTATCACCCTGCCATGCTTGACGCAATTTAAAAAAACTATTAACTTCTTAGTCAGATCATCGAGGTCAGTCTGTACGTGCAATAGAAACCAAACGTAATCCGACTCAATTATACATATCATAATCATGATTTCGACTTGGGGTTACATTATAAGAATATCAAAAGCTGATCATATGCATTTATTTCCCATGAAAAGAGATACACAATATCGAGAATTATATCCATAAAGTGATTCATACTAATTTCCTTTAACCTTTAGAATAAACAATATCAGATATAGTTCCATAAATCATGCTGTTTATTTCATCATTCAAAAGCTCTGAAAACTAGGTTTCCGTTATGATCAGAACTGAAGATAAATTAAGATGTTAATTAATATTCGTGAGGCGCGATGGCTTAGTGATAGAGTAGTGGTTTACCGGGAGGTCCCGGGTTAGAAACCAAGTCGATGCGCCATTGCCCCCTTGGTAAGGCATTATTCCTCACCCGGAATTTACCCGATCACTTGGGGAGAGGACTTTAAAGGAATAGACCAGTTTTTGGAGACGCTCCACTCTCCAAAAATGAAATGGGAGCTCTAATTACCAATCATGTGAAAGAATATGTTTTGACTAATACGTGATGATACAAATTCTGCCGGGAAACCGCCTACTTAGTGATATATTTGGTAAATTATCATATTGATCCGGCCTGGATAGATATCGCAAATGCACTACAACATTTAACATTTGGGCATATATTTCTGCTTTTTTGTGAATTTAGGTTGAAGCATTGCCATATAAACCTTATGAAGGCAATATTTAAACAGTATTGAATGGATATTTTGCACCCGGAACCCTTGAACCGCGATTTTACCACTACCGGTCTTATCTTTAAAGGCGTAGGTCCCCTGCTTACTTACTTACAAGCAGTCATATACACATAATAGGGACTTTTAGATTGAGTGGACGAGAACACGGCGAACGCCGACTGATCATGCGTGTCAACGTACTCAACTGCCCATGTTGACTACAATTAGAAATCTTAGATTGCACTCGACGATAAACATGCAGAACATCCCTTCACTGCTATTGTGTAAAAATTTGTAGAACAGGTGAATATGCATGTGACACCTGTTCTACACATTTTTACATAATAGCAGGGAAGGGATCGATGTTCCTTTGTCTACCTGAGGAACTGTATCTTTATGTGCACGCGGCATACTAGTACCGTACTAGATTTAGGAAAATAAAGGTTGACGCATTCTCGATCGCCGACTGAGACGACGTGACGCATGCGCAGTGCCTTAAAATGACGTCACACGTTGCAGTCAAAGCTTTCGACGTGCAAATCTAAAAGTCCCTAATTATTAACACAAACCAACTAACCAAAAAAGTATAAGCCTATCTCTGAAAGCTATTTGATTTCCTCGCATGCGTGTAGGTACAACATGAACGGATTGAAACTGAACGCGAGCTGGCAATATGGCGGAGCACTGAAGATCATGAACACATCCTTAGATGATCAAGGCGACTACACGTGTCAGATAGCAACGTCTATGGGCTTTAGAGACAGTATGACGACGCTTACAGTTTATGGTGAGTAACATACCACTTGTAGGTCATCCATTTTACCCACAATTTGTGATCCATCATAGTTGCTAAATCCTAAGTCACATTAAAGGCGTACGACTGGTTGCCAACTTGTGACAACCAAAATCAAAAAAGCAGTCGGCGATTGGTCTAAGAACTGTCGCCTACCCTTGGAAGATCAGGAAAAAACATTTCCACAACCAGTTTGGTAGGCAAAGTATTTTTTAGATGCCGCAGCGTAAACATTTAGCAAGTATAAAAGATGTTTCCTTAAAAGTAATTAAAAATGATAATAAAATGATAATAATTGAGTCTTATTTATTACAATGGGAAGCAAGATCAGTATTAACACTGCTCTTCCGGCGGGCTCTGCAATTATTATTATCCCAGCAATTGCCAGGTAGGCCTACCCTTTTACACCTGGGGGTGTTTCACACAGATTCTAAGTCGAACTTAACTCTAAGTTGGACTTAAATATTATGGGAAGCCATTAGCATCCTTGAAAATATTTTGTAAATTTCTTTGTAGAAGGCATAAAATGTTGATTCAAATCATTCATATTTCCTATTATCATGGGAGATTTCATGTTCTTGGCATGGAATTTATAAAAAAAAGTCTAAAACACTTGAATTTCTGCTTTTGGATATATTTCATTTTAAGGCTCCAATGGCTGTCCATAATGTTTAAGTCCAACTTAGTGTTAAGTTCTACTTAGGATCTTTGTGAAACACCCCCCTGGGTGGAGAGTGTAAGATGTGGATCATTGTCTTGCCAATGCAGGTAAATCCATTACAAGTATGAATACTCAATAAATATCCTTCCACTAGATACAGTTTTAACGATATCTGGGAGACCAACATTGATGACTTTTTCCGAAATATCATTCTTTTTTCTGTTATCGTGGTTTTATAAGACCAATATTTATTCGAGAAATTAGTTATGAGTGTTTTAAACCCATTTATTTGTTCATTTATTCATTTGATTTATCTATATTTTCATTCATTTATTGTTTAATGTATTTTTTGATTATTTGTTTATTTAATTGTTATTTATTTATTTATTAACTTATTCATTTTGTATTACTATGATCATAATTGGATACGGATTTCAGCTGTACCCCGGTACCTCCAGATCTACAACTCGAGCCATCATCTGGCCGATCCTTCTACACCCTTCCAAATGACGTCAGGGGAGCCACACTCCATCGTTTGCTCGGCCTTTCCGCTATCAAGCCCGGCCACCAACCTCAGCTGGGAACTCGACTCAACACTGCAAATAGCTCGTAACATGATCCATTTCGCACCTGAGAATATTACATCGTCTAGGTCCTCATCATTGTCGTCGCCAGGTGACTGGGAATTCTTCTCTACGGAGAGGCGACTGGTTCTGACACCAAGGGACAACAATCATGGAGCGGTCATCAGTTGCTATGGTGATCACCCTGGGTTACAGGAGAAGTTGTCCGTGTCAATCACATTGAGTGTTCTAGGTAATAATCCAATCCATATTTCATCGTGCCTTTTTAGAGGAAAACAATTAAGCTTATATCCTGGACTTATATTGTGTGTTTGGTCAAAGTACTTTAAAATTAAAATTAAATAAAATTTGCACTTGTTTATAAGTTACATTTCATTTCATGCTTTACGTTGCAAACACAAAAGCGAAGACATGACTTTTCCAACCGAAGCACTTATTGGGAAAAAGTGGTCACCTCCACTCATTTAGGCAGAGTCTTTAGTTATCTATTTATTCAATCAAAGATACTTAAAGTGAGAGTAGACTGGGAATTTAATGAAAGATATGAGTGAGAGGATAAGTAAGTCTTTGTTTTAAAACAATTAAAACCGAACAAAAAATACAGAACACGTATTACCAAAATATTGAACAATCCTTGACGACATTAACGAAGCTATGACATTGAATATCTGTTGTTGTTGTTGTTTTTTTTTTTGGGGGGGGTGGCCATCACAATCTCACTGAAGTGCACACATCTGAGAATTTATTGAAAGATATGAGTGAGAAGAAAGGTAAATCTTTGTTCATAAAATATCTAATCCTGCATCGCCTTGCCATGAAGATCGGTATACGTAGGACAATGCTTGGCACATACAGCAATTAATATACCTCTCCCCTTTGCGGACAGTTTCTCCGAGCTATATACGGATCTTCAACGCGAGTTATCAGCCTCTCTCTGACACCGGAAGCGTGAACGTGACCCAAGATAGAGCTGTGACCTTTGTTTGCATGAGCACCAGGTCACGACCTCCAACTTTTCCAAGATGGCGGATTGGTGATGACGCCATTGAGGATCAAGTGACAAGGACGACCATCCCGTACGATGATCAAGAACTGTATGACGTATCAAGCCGCATGATCTTGGCAAGAGTTCTCCGAGAGCATCATGGGAAAAGGGTTACCTGTTCGGCTTCCGGGTTCAATCTTCGAGCCGTAGCAACCAATATTACATTGCACGTTTTGGGTAGGCACAATTTGAATTTTTAAAGCATGCCCCTAAGCTACAATTTTGTGGGCTTCTACAGATCTTGCTGCCAACGTCAGTCATATATATTTATGTCTAGGACCTCGACTCTTACAACTCTATCAATTCCAATGTAATATTATATACAGTGACATTCTCGATTTCTCCACACGTCAAGTAGGCCTACTTGATCATTATAATTATTTTGAGCGTGAGTCAATAACATAGTTCGTCAAAGATTGAATGGACATCCAAATTCAATACAATAGTCGTCGCTACCGTAATATCGTAGCATTTATGTCAAATATCAGTCCTGTACAACATAATCATGTCAAAACTAATTAAAATTTCCATTTTGGACGTGGTCGACAACTGCAATGAAACCGGAAGAGGACAAATTGAGGCTTGATTTTCTTTTTGTTTTTAAATACACCATGCCCAGGACCCGCGGATCCTCCACGTATTACGAACTTCACAGGGGCTTTCGTCGAGGGAAGATCCCGTTCTTTAGAGTGCATCGCCCTCAACGGATTTCCTCCAGCGGACATCGAATGGCGCATTGACGGACATCCCACTCCTGACACCGATACCACGATCGTCAAACGCTGGCGATACGACGTCGTGAGCCGCGTTACCATTCTACCAGACCGAGGTATGAACGGGAAAGAAGCCACCTGCATCGTCCGGACTCCGTCAGTGCCGTCAACGGAGATGCGCAGTTCCGTCGCTTTGAATGTCCTGTGTGAGTCCAATTCAAATGACAATTTCCCCTATTCATCAATGGAGTGACAAGATACATTAGATTCAGAAAAAGATTTGGTGATTTTGTTTTGACTTTTCACGGAATATCTCCTTCACAAATTGCTAAACTGTCCAACAAGCATTATCGAAAGGGTGACCGTAGGCGTATACTCATGTTCTCACTCGTAGCCTATTCCCATCCCAACCCCATCAATGCCACATTATAAACGCTTCATCCTCCAAGCAATCCTTCACCTAGCTTGCACATCCATAGTATTTTTCTTTTCGTGTTAACTTGCCAAAAAAATAAGAATAAAAGAAACGCAGTTCAATATCACATCAAGCCATTGTACAAATTAACATTGCACAAATTAACAACTCTATAAATTTGGCACGTGTATTAGAATAAAAAAATCTTTGCTTTAATATGTACTTTAATTTCTTTAACGTTAAACAAGCAATATCACCACATTGAAGATATCATGAACTAAATATTATTTGGACCAACCATTTTAGACTCATTGTATTAGGTGGATATATCTTCGCTTGCCATGACATTAATTTCTGGGCTTGATGTTTAATCAGTGAACTAATAAGTTATTCGACAAATGAAGCTTCAACTTTTAATCAATTCCAAATTTACCTATTATAATGATATCTCAGTTCTAAATACTTTGTCGGACATGCTTGCTTAAGCAATTTTCATAATCAAGAACTATTTATGTCATCATGACGTGTACTCATAAATACGATCATTTTATTTCGTAATTGTTTATTTTGATCATTTACACATTCTATTTCCTTTTTTTCTTCATCTTTTGGTACAGTTTGTCCTCATCGAGTTTCTATCTCCTGCGAACCGGTCGTGGCTGGGAGACCTAGTTGGATAACTTGTCGATCTGCCGTCAGTAACCCTGCTCCACGCTTGCTGTGGGCCATGGAAGGGAAGGAGATCGAAAACATCCATGACGATCACGTCGAGTCTTCCAACAGCATTAACACCACGGTAGGGTTTTTCTCGTCGTCGAGCTACTCGAGGGGTTTCGTTGCCGACGACCACGGGAAGATTGTCCGCTGCTGTGCGGCTCGGGATGAGGAGTTAGGATGCACAACAGATGTCTGCATGGAATGTCCGCTGAACGTGTACTGTGAGTACCCTACTGCAATGAACATTACTCCCATCTTATCTATCCAAGGTGGATTATGTCCTCCCTGAAGAGAAAAATGATCTTCGTGTTTCAGAGAATTTTTTTCTCCCCCTGTTTGTGAAAGAATGTGTCTCTCAGACCAAGCAGCTTGTTATTTCATACACTTTTTTTGCCTATATACTGTTTTATGATAGTTTCACATCTACCTAATTACTCTTGTGACAGAAACTGTGTTTCCTTATAATAGCCAAAAGCCAAATAAACGTGTAGTGAAAGATGTTTATGGTCTTAAAATGTGTACCTTAGAGAGGGCTCTTTAAAAGCAGTCGTGGCAACAAATCAAAGACCGTCTGCAACAGGAATACATAAAGGTCTTATGTTGCTGATACCAGTCTTTGTAGGCCTCAATGGGTCATGGGTTGTCTTATAGGAATCTTTAATAGGTGTTGTTGATATTTAAATGCTTCCTAAATGGTATTAATTTTTACCAGAATATGTAATCGTTAGAATTGATTATCTTATAAAAAGGTAAACCGAAACTTCTGCAAGAGGGAAATGACATGATAAAATCACTGCACGAGAACTACATCACTCTAAGATGCTCGGCTCGTGGGAATCCACCCCCGTCGATAGAATGGTACAGTCCATGGATGGTTCACGATTCGCCTATCAACGCATCGACCCCTGGCGTCATCTCACTGGTCGATACCATCATTGACGGGGAGGGGTCTGATAGGGTGACGATACAGAGTACGTTGGTGATCGAGTCTTCGGCTGGTATTGACACGAGAGTTCAAGGGGTCAAGTGCGTGGCTTCAAACTCTATCGGCTCTGGTTCAATTGCTTCTTTCTTTGGCAACACAAGTGGTAAAAGTTCTTGTAATTAATTGTTCTTGAAATCAATTGTTGATTAATTAAGTTGATATGCCAATATCCCCACTGACTCGTGCAAAGATCTGTATAGGCCTACGGAAATAGGACAACTTGGGTTATAGGACAATTACCCCCTGGACAATAACCCTCTGGCCAACAAGCAGCGGGATAATTCGCCCCTAAGGACAAACATCCCGGGAGGACAATTATCCTACCTGAAAATTAACTCCTTGGACATGCCATCACCCCCCCCCCCCATCGCCCGAGGACAATTACCCCCCCCCCCCCCCGAAGAAAATCTGCTTTTATTCAAACCAACTAATTACCAGGGTGGACTTCCCCTTTAATGAACAGAGGGGGGGGGGAGTGGTAACTTTCGGGGGGGAATTGTCTTAGGGGGTAATTGTCTTAGAGGGTAATTTTCCTTGGGGTAATTGCATTGGGGTGGTTGTCCTCAGGGGGTAATTTTCCGAGGTGTATTGTCCATTGGATACTTTTCCGGGGGAGAATATCCAGGGGCTGATAGTCCTGATACGGAAAATGTGTGTTGTCTTCTGTATTAAATAAGTTTTCATTGTACAGATAGGAAACCATTAATAAATTCCTAACTGCCTGTGGAAGGAAATGTCTGCATGGTCGGGTGCAATGTTCAAGAAACTTCAAGAAATATCTTTAACTCGTTAATACAAGACCAGATAGTATCATTGTTTTTCAAATTATTGAGTTAACTTCGACATTAAAGATTAGAACTACATGTATTTCTAATTCGGCATTTTTCAACCCCGGGGAATCTGTGAAGGTTTCCTAATTTTAAAAGGCAAAAATCGTCATTTAGACCAACGCAATATTCAATTCTTTAAAGATGATGTGCACGTTTTTTTCACCAAAATTATTTACTAATCGAAAAACACTTTGATATTATAACACTGTTATCAATAGGAAGCGAGTTGGTTCAGTCGGTAAAGCGTTTGCCTGTCGGACCAAAGATAGTGGCCCGAATTCACAAAGGAGGTTTGTAGACGAACCTTTGTGAATTCTGGCCAGTGGGTTCGAATCCAACCCAGGCGGATGACTGAAGCCTGCGTTGTGTGTAAACGTGCATGCCCCTCCCCTGTTTCATAGACGCAGGCTATGTTAAGTGGGAAACACTCCGTCCCTCGGGTAGGACGTTAAATGGAGGCACCTTGGTAGAAGAGAGCCACCACTTGTGCATGTTAAGAACCCACTTCACTATTCGTATAAGAGTAGGGGAAACCCCTGTACACCCCCGATTATTTATAGCTGGAGGATGACCCGAGGGTTACATTGATTTAGTTCGCTTTTCGCCTCCCAGATCCAGGTGACGCCACAATAATAATAATAATTTCGGTCATATTTATACAGATATCACTTCAGTATACAATCAAGAGACTGGCTTATTGACAGTGCATTATTCCCCTGACTCTGTACCGCCCTCCCCCGACGCCATACCATGTGTTCATGTCGACTACAAGCTAGCAAATAGGCAAGCATGGAAGCTGGGTGCCACGTGTTTCCAGCTACGGACCAATGAGACGGCAGTCATTGTCGAGAGTGGGTTGAACCTGTCTGAGATCGGGCTGAGGGTATGCTTCTACCAGGAGTTCTGTGACATTCCGCTTCCACCACAGCCATGTAAGGAACATTTTACACTTTCAAAAAGATTTCCGAGAAATAGCCTGTGAACGTGTGAACATTACAGTGGCATACTGTAGATCTATTACGTAATCTAAACATGAACTATATTGGAAGAAAAAATGGGGAATTGGAATTACCTACCAGTTGAGATATCGAAAGTCTTTGCGATCCTGCCATTTATGGGTTTGTGTATGTGCGCGAGGTGTCATTATTTATGTTATAAATTAAAACAATGTTAGAGAAGGGGAATGTTAGTACACTTCTCCCCCAACAACAACAACAACACAAATCCAAAATATGTTTTGTGTGTATGGTCGGATGCTGGGCTTGGCAATGTTTATTTTCTTCTACCTTAATACGTCAAACTGCCTTCGGGCTTTAATTTGTGTGATAAGTCATGAATCAATAATATTGCAAAAGATCTAAACACACGTGATTGTACGTACTGTCGTCTTGATCGATGTTGTTTGGTTAGAGCACCAATTTCGTATAGGATTCGTTGACGGCAGGACAAACTAAGTACGACAGGGAAATCGTACCCACCGTGACGCCCGCCTGGTCGCCGAGTCTGAATCCCTCTGAACAAACATATTTAGTGGATGCTTTTGAATGTTTAAAGATCAAGGAACACCAATAATGATATTCTTTCCAGCGCTATATCTTTGTTTTTAAGCATCATCTTTCCCTCTAGTAATCATAAATTATGTTTGTTTCAGATATGACAACCCCCCCTCCCCCAATACTTTATAAGACAAGCTAGGGCTGTATTCCAAGTATATGCAACTACCTTTGTTTTTCTTTCGCTTATGTAACTTATGTTTTTGTTTTGAATAACGTGTAGTTTCCCAGAAAACCGCAACAGCTATCAACAACATTCTCTTTCCAACACTGTTGGTCGGCATCGCATTATGCTTGATACTTTTCATCGCAGTGGCATTCTTCATAAAACAGAAAAGAGGCAGAAGAGGTAACAACAAACTTGTTTGTGTGTATTGTTATAGTACAAAAATCCTTATTCTTCGACCCGAGACATAAAGGTTGATATAGTCAATTAATACTTTCCCCAAAATGTAGATATATTTCATTATCATTCTTATTCTAGGCAGATCAGAAAGTCCCTTGAATTTTAAATAAAGGAAGATTTTGCTTGTACAGACGTTCGTGAGAATTATTAAATTCTAATCATACTTATCAGTGTTGGTCCATGTTTAAGGTGGTAGTTCGAAACCACCGCTTCCTTGTATATTATGGCTAAACACGCAGCGACCAAAATCGCATCACTGTTTCTCAGTAAAATGCTAGCTTAACAGGGATGTAAAATTAAGAAAAGAGAAGGATCATGAGGCCAAATGCCACGAGACCGAAGTACCCAAAATACCCAAAATTGATCGCATGAATTTTCCGGCAAATGATAGTTCCCAGAAAACCATCATGATCATTGTCGTTTTGTATGGACTTCCGGTCTCATGGTAACCTTTGGCTTCCTGAACCTTCGGAGATTGAAATGTGAAAAGATAATATGTGGCCGTACACATCGTTGTTGTATAAGTGTTGTACGTTTGTTCTATAACAGTGCATAAACAGTCGAACCGACATGGCCGAGGGTATACCAGAAGCAACCAGGTGTCCATCACACGTACGGTTCAAAGGTCACAAGCAAGTGAAGAAGGTATGAAGGTGTAACATTTTTAAAACTGGACTTGTTCTTTGTATACAAAATATGGACAAGCATGACCTGTATGATGAGCATTGAGTATCAAGTTTACTGAATGCATATACGAAACAAAAACAGATACAGGAGCAACGAGGGGGTTGATCTTGTGTTATCTAAAAGTTAGGCCTACTTCATGTCTAAATTTAGATACTCTACGTTAACCCGTGTCCTCCAATACATGAGGTTATAGAGAATCATGCTGAGATACTATCTACAAAAAAAAATCTTTGAATGATTTATAAGAAGGTTGTTTTTATGACATATATTTATGTAGCCACTATCTTTCCCTATAACTAATAGGCGAGAAATGTTTATCTACCTTGATATATGAGCCATATCAACTGGCTTCTGTAAGCCAGAAGAGGTTCTAACAACTATGATTCCTTTATGTGTGATTTATTCACCGCGTAGACGCCATCCCTTCTGACCAGGTGCCTCGAGGTGAGATGAACCATTACATGGACATGGCATCTTCTGCAACATCACAGGGCGCCACCAAGGGAACCGAACCTCAGAACGCCGCAATGAGCCCGTTCCCAGGTGAGACATTGTACTTGTACGCCGATGGCGCGATGGCTCAGTGGTAGAGAAGCGGTCTCGTGACCGGGAGGACGTGGGTCCAAAACCAAGTCGACGTGTTAGTGCCCTTTGGGGGGTATGTGTCCTTTGTCACCTGATAGCATGCCGAGAGCAAAAGAAGGAAAACGAATACTGAGTGTACTACAGACGCTCAGGCGATTTCTTACACTTGTAGAATTTCTATTTTCAACCCGGGACCTAATACCATCCCTGGCCCAGATCCTCAAATAAAACCCCATGACCAACTAAATCTTAAGCTACATCTTTGAAGAAATAAACCTAGGGCCGGATAAAAAAATCTTATGCTTGAACAATGGTACCACCAGAATCGGTACGACTCTTTTTTTTAATTTTTATAATCTGTGTATTATGCATTCAGTCGTTCCAGTCTAACTTGAGGCTTTGGGGTTCTCTTATTGATGCACCGGTCAAGAGCAAACCATCAAAAGACCGACCACCTTTTGGCCATTTTTTGTGTAATGCAATTCATGTTTCATATGCTGTCGGTCTGATGACGGTTTCGTTGGTGTGACCCAAGTATCAGTTCGTATGCATGCTACGCGTAGTAAGATAGAATCAGCAAACCAATTATGTAGAGGTGTCGTGGTCGAGGGGATATGTCACCGGACTGTGGATCACAAGGTTCACGGTTCGAGTCCCGCCGCAGCACTAATGTCCTTTGGCAAGACATTAATCTGCATTTGTCACACTCAACTAACGGCTGCCGGAGCTAAAGCTAGGGTAATAATGTCCTAAGCTCTTTGGAAGCGCATAAAGATGTTATTTCATAATGTATGATGCGCTTTACAAGAACTGAATATTATTATTATTGTGTGTAGATCCCGGTGATCTTTTGACCTATGAAGACATGAGAGCGGATGGACAACCGGTCAGCCCCGGGTATGCTCATTATGTTGCTGGATGCCAATCAGGTGAGTTTCTCACAGAACACGATAATCGCAAATGACTTTCGAAAATCAACATGTGTAATTGGGTTTTGACATACGTGTATCATAACGGATATGAATATTTACGTCTGGGGGCTGACCTTTAACGTTTCCATCCGAAAGACGTGATTCAGTTTCGAACCAGGGTCGCCTCAGCAACTTTGTAGGCGAAGACAGAGAGCTGACTAAGTGAACGAACCGCTAGACCAACTCACAAGCATTAACCTTATGTATAAACTTTTTTCAAATGTGCGAATATACAATGACGTATTTCGTAACCCCAATATTTTTTTTTTTAAAAGGGAAATACAATAGGGTATCGAAATAATTCACTCCCGAGTTCATTTTCCGGAAGCTGTTGTATTCGTATTATTAGGAACAGTCCGGCATCCATCTTTTGAGTCTGAGCGTCATTCCTATATTTTCTGTGTATTACAATCCTATAAAAGCTATCCTTTCATTGAACTATTTTCCACCCATGTCTTCAGATTTTCTACTCATATTATTTTCCGTGGTAGATTACAAGATTTCGCTTTATTCTTAGTGGCCTAAATGGAATGTTTCCTGCTCCTGTAGTATCATTTGAATGAATATTGTTAAATTTATATTCCTATTATCTCACCCCTTTGCTTTATTGAAAACTATCAACTTCTTTGACTCTTTTAGGCTTTCCCTAACTCTGATTCAGTGTTGGCCTCCGAGGTCTATGTATTTTATCTTTTCATTGATTATCTGACAATAAATGGATATTTTTCTTTCATTTACTAACTATCGTTTTGATTCCATTCTGTATGCTTTCTTTCAAGTGGACACTTTTGTGTATGGCAATATACCCACCTCAGCAATGCCTTTGAAGAGAAGCGACTCCGGTATCTGCTGCTCCTATTCCTTATCTCCTACCAAGCTGGACTCTTTCAATCTGCAGAACACGTACGAATCGACCATCTTCAACATGCCCGAGAAGCTACAAATGCCCACTCGTGGCGCTGCAGACCAAGGTGATACGGACACGCACATGACACCCGAAGGCATCTACCAATTCACCACGCCCGAGAAGCTACAAATGCCCACTCGGCGCGCAGCAGACCACGGTGATTCAGACTCGCCCATGAAACCCGGAGATATCTACGCTAGCCCATTACTGTCATCGAGCACGGTTGCGTCCGAGTGGAATTTCGTCCCCACTTGCTCGACATGGAGGGGTGGCGGACCAGAGTCTTGTGAGAGGAGCGGTTTGCAGCTGTATGCCAATGCCCCACATGAAGTCGACTAATGATCTTCAAGGCAGCAGGGAAGCACTGTGGTGCCTCTTTCTTTTGACGTCCATCAGGAGATGTGGGTTCGAATCCCGGCTAGGCCAGGCCTAGCCGGGATTCTCTAGTACCCGTTTATCCAGTGGCGTGGCTTAGATCCCAGGGCACTTGCATAATTAGCATGGCATCGGTCGTACAGGATTGTTGCATGCTTTTGAAAAGGCGCTTTATAAATCTGGCTCTCTTTCTCGGTCTTCTCTCATGATTTCTCTATTCGATTGGAGGCTCACGTACCTCTTGTGCCCCCTAAGCTACGCCATTGCATTTTTTACGAATTAGAATCCAATACTAAAATATAAACTAATCATAAGGCTTTAGCGCGTAGACCTATACATGAGTAGGCTTCTTTACATACATGTAATTAATCGAGGTCAAAAAAGTTCAACCGATCTTGGAAGAAAAAAAAAAAAAAAATTTGGGGGGGGGGGGGGGCATGTGCCCCCCGTGCAGAAGTATTGAACAACCAAGGAGTTTTAAGAGCTGGAGTCCCAAGTGGCAACACATTATTACAAGTTGCTGCCGTTTTCTAAAGTAACACACAATAGAATCTACAGGTGCGCTTTTACCTTTGATGACCGATGTTCGAAGCCGCCAACGTCATTGGAAAGTTTGAGTAGTGATTTTTCTCACACAGAAATATCATTAATATTTCACTTTTTATTTGAACTAACAAGGGAAAAAATCGAACAGATGATAAGATATGAATACAAAAGCCTGATTGTGTCAAGAATTTTGCTTACATTGTACTATAGCAGTTTTAATTTGTGATGAAAAATAGTAAACATGTGTACAATCCTTAAACCTGCAATTTGACACTTTTCCGATTACTTCTGGCTCACGCAAATAAAAAGTGAATTTGTTCAAAAACAGTTCTTTATAATGCTATACTGTATGTCAGATTATTGCCCACACATGCCCAGTTGAGTAATTTTGATTAATATTTCAGGAAATTTTGCTCCTTTTTTTTCGCTTGCCTCCTGAAAAGGTAAGCACTGTGTACTGCTCATATTATCAGAAGAGAGGTAGCGAAAAGTAATTATCTTTATAAAAGCATATTTCCCTTTGAAATTGGCCCGTTAGTGTGCAGCTAGGCAGGAATATTTTGTCTACGTATCTACATAAAGATCCAATCTAGCATTATGCCTGACATATTTTCACCTGGCGGCTTCGAAGACAGTACAAAGGGAATGAGCTAGATATGACTCCATCTCTTAAAACTCCCTGGAAGAACACAAAAGACAAATTATGACACACAAATATTATATGCTCATTGCACCATTTTATATCTCCATATATCCTCTCATCTGCACGCAGGTGAATTGATTGATCATTTGAATGTAATATTGTAAAGTCATATTTATCCATAAATATCCATTACTCGCTATAGATACAGACGCACAGGTTAATGATGTACATTATGAATAGTTGTTGTCCAAAGTACGAGATGTACATTAGTCCAGATCCCAGGGGTCTCGGTCAATTGTAAATACTGTAAGCAGGCGTGACCAAGAAAACGCATATAAAGTTGTTTTTCAAATAGATTGGACGCGGTCCGAAAACGTCCATTTTAAAGAAAAAGGGTACTTTTTCAAAATCCTGCTGTACGCGTTTATTGGTATTTTTCTAGAGTTGAAAGCTGGTCGGGAAGCCGGTTGTCTATAACTTTCGGTTACGTCAGCTTAATAATGTAAAAACACATAAAGAAGCCCTTAGTCTTCGCGTAAATATATATTATATTAGATGCCCTGTGCTGATATGGATGGGTGTCATTGAAATAGGATAAATTTGTACACTATGTATTATACATTAACTTTGTTTTGCATAATAGAAGAGTAACTGCTCAAGTGGTGTGGGTTTCTGTAAACACTACACGTACTTCATATAAAATATATGAAATTTGAAATGTAATTCTTTTTTTCAAAGAAAGGACCTATGATGGCTGTGCATTAAACCCATTTGGAAGTGTACAGGTTGATGTTTTTGCTTCTCTATTGAAATAAATGTTTACATTGTGAATTTTACATCAGAAGCGCAATTAGATTTATTTTACATTATCAACAACTTAAATGGTAATTCCTATCGCACTTCAAAATGCTCAAGGGGTTACAGTTTTACAATACTTGTTTAGGAGTACACTTTTGTGAAATACCCCTTTAGGTGTGAATTCAGGGGAGAAAAACACGCAAAATTCTTATTTAGGGTGCATTTTGGCTTCAGAAGAAATCCTCATTTATAGGGGGTATCTGGAAAAACTCACTGATGTAGAAATACTGTAAGCATGCGTGGCCATAGGTTTTTTCCAGACCCCCCTCCTCCTTAACCAACAAAAAACAGAAGAAAAATCAAGGAGACCTTTAACAAAAAAAATGCATAAAGAGAGAAATTAAAGAAGGAGGAAGGAATAAGAAAAACGTGAGATGATATAGAAGTATGAAGATGATGATAAAATGCTCATTTAGGTGGTGAAAACGATGATGACGGTGGTGATGATGATGGTGATGATGATGGCGGTCGTGAAGATGATGATGATGATGCTGGTGGTATAGTGGTGATGATAATGATGACGATGGTGACGATGATACAGATGATGGTGGTGGTGGTTGGGATGATGATGGTGATGGTGGTGGTGGTGATGATAATAATGATGTTGATTATGGTAGTGGTGATGATGGTGACGAGCGGATCAAATGAAATTGCAAAAAATACTTTATCCCAAAACCAAACATTGTGTAAAATGATAAAACAGGATTCTTGAAACGATAATTACTTTCCATATTTTACTGAAAATAGCAACTCATCAATTATTCATGTCGTATAAAGTTTATTAAATTGCACGAAAAACTATTGCATTCAGGTAAAGTGCTCATCCTCAAATGAAATAAAAAAAGAATTTAGACTCTTCCTTTAAAAATATACCACTTTATTTAATATAACAAAACAAATGGATTGAAAGTCGTAGTCTTTGGATTTAAACAGAGTTGATATCAAATTAAACATATATATAGACTTCGATAGAAAGTCAGTATACAGAGTAACCAAACATAGTGTAACAAGAAACATACATAGGGCATGAGAAAAGAGAATAATCTTGATTTTTCTTCATCACTTATAATTACTAGGATAATAAAACTTTCCAAAATTATGCATTTTATTTATTTCTTAAGTCGTATCGATTTGAGCGTTCCGGAGCGTTCCAATTCCTTTCAGTTTTAGATAATTGCCCCACAAAGGGGCCCTTTATTAACCAAAATTAAAACACATTTACATAATATGCAAGCACGTGACATAAGAAAATGGAATATGTAAAGTCTTAATTTCCCTTTAAGAGCAGAAAGTGAACTTTTCAAACTATCGGATGCATCACAGCATGCACAAGAGCTTCCGTTCATGTTGTTACAGGAAAAGATACAGGAAATGTGACGCTTCAAAAGTAGGCCGATATTGTTTTTCTTACATTAAAACTTAACATTGGCAGTCTTGGCCGTTTTCCGTTTCTGTATAAACATTGTTTGATCAGGAAATTCTATCAAAGAGTAACATCCTCATATGGCTTTTTCTTTTCTATTCTTTTCTGTGCTTTTCGGAGGGGGGAGCATACTCAGTGGTTTATACCCCTACGACCATTCCCCTATCGTGACACCCATGAGCATCATAGGGCTACCTGTCCAAATTCAGTCGAAATGAATCTATTTAATTCAAGTTAGTTGCCTCGTTTGAAGCTTTTGAAATTCATTTAAAGGGAAATCCAACCTTAACAGCAAACCACTCTAGAAGAAAGCAGATAAAAATGTTTAAAAAATAATACAAATTTAAATGAGATTGGAGCAGGAAGAACAATAAATCGAAAGTTTCTATTTGTGTTAAAATTGTTTGGTATCGGCTCTTCAAATTCGTTGAATCGGTAATGTCTATGTGATGTAGTGGCGGCAAACTTTTTCATTTGTTCCAACAAAATGACACAAATTTCCATTTTTAAAAATAATATATGATTCATGAAGGTCCTTTCGCTTTAGAGGACATATGATAATATGCTACCCATAATTTATCTTAAGTAGTGCCCCGAGGGGGAGGGCCCTTCGAAAAAAATTATTTCATTTTTGATACACGACAAACGGGAGAGTTATATCCACGACTACGTCCTAGTCCACTGACCGAAATTCAACTGCCAATATGAAATTCACATAGACTTAGTGATTACATATTTCAATCATTCATAACTTTCTTATTATTGGTCCGATTTATTTCAAACGTTCATCATTCTGTGTCTCTTAATGATCAGCTTTCAAACAAATGGACTTATTGCATTTCAACTACCGTTCTAAGAAGTTACATGTACTTGGTTATGGTGAAAGCAAGCTAAATAAAAAAAATAAGGTGCCCAATTCATAAAACCCCTTCTAACTATAAACATTTCTAAATATCTATAAAATAAGTAGGATATTCTCCTCACAGCCGATCCAATGAGATGATTTCAGTAGTTTATTATATCAGCTATTGCAAGCACCTGGTATTGATATAAGGTGTATTGGAAAAAACTCCCGTGGAGTGACTAGCTACCACAAATACAAACATAAAATGCGTTAGAAAACGAGGGTCAGATTCTTACAAAATGTTGGATACACTTGCTTTTTATCATTCCACTTATTTGTATGTATATATTCTCTGTTGAATATAAATATGTTTATAATGTATATGTGTACACTTCATCGTTACATATAATTCTCTTGTGACTTGTCCTTTGTTATTCTTAAACCAATAGAAAACAAATCCTGTTATAACAGATCGATGAATCGATGAATAAAATTTAATGTATTACTCACTAACCAATTGCATTGATTTCGTTTCTTTTGTCATCTTTATACATGGGAGGGTGTGTACAATTCTTGAAATAAGATGCCCACGATAACAGAGAAGGCTCTATTCTTCTAGTCCAGAGATGAGGAACCCTCTCGTTATGTCAGAATCTGGGTCACTCGTATTCATGAGTTCAAACATCTCATTGGTCTCGACCCATTCCACCCTTCCCTCATACCACGTATCAAGCAAGAGAAAGCGATCAGTGTCACGATGGTATGCGGCCAACGGACTGAAATGTCCTAGCCGGACAACCCCAGAATCAGACTTCCAGGTGTACAAGTAGTTGACTAACACACCCTGACTCGAATCGCAGTGAGACAGCGCCTCGATCGCCCTGGAACGGAATGTGTCCACATCGACGTCCTTTGTGTAGACTTTGGTCGTCGGAACGCCGTGTGCTTGAAACAGACGTTGGATTTCGAGAAGTGTGGCGCCTCGCTTTAGCACTTCTTCGTGGTTTACGACACGTGTCGTCTGCTCAAAGGAGAACATGTTCGTGTCTCTGTAAGGTACTTCACTGACGTCACAATCGGATTGGTCAGCCGGGAGAGGAAACTTCTTTCCGAAGTATATCGCGCTCATGAGGAGGGCGGCGGAGTGGATACCGCAATAGCCCATTTTTTCTTGAACGCTGAAGATCTTGATGAGGAGTGTCTGCCGAACGGCGGCATCGATTAGCAAGGCTCCTCCCTCCGGAGATTTTAATAATATCACTTTGTCTGGACTCCACCATTCCCTGTATCAAGCATAAACAATGTGACAAAAGGTATTATAATTCGTTAATGTTTTAGATAGTTTGCGCATTCCTCATGTTTCGGGAGAAGCATATTTTACAATATCAATCACATGGAAAAGTGGAAAAAGTAGTCATAAAACTTATCTTGCTGGGAGGATAGACCTACTACATAATGTGGATGATAAATTCAACCTTACGTTTGCTGAATGGTTTTAGATATTATAAACATACACATTGTAGTTTAATTGCAGATGTCCGTGGGGTATTTCTTTACCCTCGAAAAAGTGTGGATGAAAGAGACGGGCTATCCAGCCGATTGTTTCTTAATTTTTGTTCATTACGCCGTAATTGTATGGATTTTGTTCGCTTCATATCTCAGGAATGACATGGTTAATTGAACTTGTATAACCTAGGCCCCGTCTTACAAAGAGTTGATATCAATCTCAACTTTGTACATAATTTAGAGATATGAGACTGCAAACTTGCGATTGCTTTGGATCAATCGCAAATCTTTGTAAGACGGGGCCATGTGCTATAATTATATGCACGATCATTGATCCTATCGTCGAGATTTGTGGCTTGTTACGGATGCGTGACGTCATCCAGCCGCCATTTTGTTAATTTCTATTATTGTCCATATTTCTGTCATACATTGTCATTTCTGAATGATATTTGATATGCATAAACTTGACGTCATGTGTAAACATTTTGATAGTATATTCTTTTGTATAAGAATGAAATAAAAATAAAAATTAATATGCAAGATAACAACCTTTCAAGTTAACAGATTGATGTGTTTTCATAGACTGAGACAAACACACACTATGAACATGACGGACAAAGAAAGCGGATTAAATATACAGTTCCTCAGGTAGACAAAGAAACATCCCTTCACTGCTATTATTTAAACATGTGTAGAACAGATGTCACATGCATATTCACCTGTTCTACACATTTTTACATAATATCAGTGAAGGGATGTTCCTTTGTCTACCTGAGGAACTGTATATTTTGTCCGCTTTCTTTGTCCGTCATGTTCATAGTGACATACGCTGCCATTTTTCAGTTCGCATTGCATTGTTTGTTGTAATTCTTGTAAACCATATATACGATCTCAAAGTACTATGCACCTGCATTGTAGGACTACCTTGCATGCCATTTTACGCATCGGACTTACATAATTATATTAGCTTCATAATTGTATGCGCCTGTATCAAAGTAAAATACAAGAAGCTTACCTCATATAACTCCAGGTGTTGCCCATGTTGACAGCGAGTAAAATTAAGTTATATATGCTGCTCTTCGGTGTTAATGTTCCGCCTATTCTCCGCTATGCTGCTCGAAAGCCTTATTATGACACAACATTCTACAGGTAGGCCTACTAATTGATAGGAAAGCGAAGCTAAGCTGCAGACTGTAGGCAGGTATCTGAACTTGCAATACATTTATGCTAGGCTTACCCTACTATTATTTGCACGATGAAATAAAGTGCCTTGACCTCGCGTAGGCTACACGACCTGCACGAGAGCTTGAGAATAAAAAGGTCTTGAAAGCAAATATGCAATTCCAAAGTCCAAACGGTGCATTTACTACTCATTTGTATTTATTCAGAAATTCAGTTTTAAAAAAAAATGAAAAAGAAAAGAAAAGAGGAGCTTATATGTGTTAAAAGACAACTACCCAAGGAACAATCATCCCGGGACAACGTTTGTAGAGACTAAAAGTGCTTTCTGGTTAGTGTTTAACTGTTTATGTATTTCTGGGGTATGCGTTAGAGAGAGAGGGGGGTAGGGAGAGAGGGAGAGGGGAATGAGAGGGAGAGGGGGGCAGAGGGGGGGGGGAGAGAAAAAACAGAAAGAAAGAAAGAGGGAGAAAGAAAGAGATTTGGAGGAGAGAGGGCGGAGAGAGAGAGACAGATAGAGAGGAAAAAGCTCCCATAATTTTTTGTTGTTGTTGAAGAACACATTACTGAAAAAAAGAATAAAATATTTCGAATATCAGTTGACTGGATTATAAGATATGCATTAAAGTAACCTGCACTTCATCCATTTTATATTTGTACTTAGATTTTTGTTTTGAACATAAAACATTTGAAAGAAATTTCTAACGAATAATGGCAGTAACTCAGTATTTCTGTAAACGGATAACTTGTAACTTTCCTTTCTGCATTAATGATAATAATAATGATATTCCGCTTTTTTATAGCGCCAAATACATCAATACAATTGTATCTTGGCGCTTTACAGATATATTATTACCCCGGTAATCGGATACAGGCTTACCCACACACAATTTATGCACATTTTCCACTCCCTGGGAAGCATTTCGGCCAGTCGCCATTTTACAAGCGCAAACTTGCTCATCCAACCACATTAACTTTCGCATCCTACCGGACACCCATTTAACACCTGGGTGGAGAGTGGCAAATGTAGATTAACGTCTTGCCAAATGCCATTAGTGCTGCTGCGGGACTCGAACCCCATGCCTTTTGATCTGCAGTCGGGTGACTTATCCCCTAGACCTCAACACCTCAGATGTATCAATGCTTAATTTGAACAGGCACCCCCCCCCCCCCCCCGCCGCTGTCTCCCTACCTCACTGCCACACCATTGGTTTACCGCTTACCTTCCATGGCAGTCGTAGGAACCTGTTCTATAATTCTGCCTATTTCATTTGAATAATTAGTATAAATTGTTGGAAAATATAACATGTCCAAAGGTCAAGTACAATCTGAGCAAAAATGAGAATGGAATGAGAAGGAAAACACATATGTAATCAATACTATTGTAAGTTGTTTTCCTTGTTGGTCTTCTGTGGAGAACAAAAAGAAACTGCTTCGTTATTAGGTCATTTACCCACAAAAAAGAGGAAGAGATATTGCCATAGAAAACATAAGATTTCAAGGAGTAACAGGACAGGATGACGAAGAAACCAGCAAGTTTAGGATTAAAGGTATCATGATATATTGAAATATATGTCTTTCAAATCACGGATCACAATGTGAAAAGGACAGGTCAAATGTATTTTGATTTCATCACATTTGAAGTTCGATATGAAGCGGGTTCCCCTAAATTTTGTCCGGCAAGTTTGTTGACATAAACAAGAGCATTTCGAACTATTGTACACGCCTGCCAATGAAAATTCGTTTTCTTGACATGCCTCTGTGCAGGTACTGGGTGTTACGATGACGTCATGAGCAAAATTGACATGTTCTGGAATCGTAAGCAATGACATTAAGGTGTACCATTTTCATTTGACTCCAATAAAAAGGTAATAATTATACGAAAGAAGAGGGAAATATTTAAAGCTTGTAGACAATAAGCAGGAGCTATAAACACACGTCTAAATCAAATTATATCATGCAATGCGGCAACTTCGCTAGGATTTAATTGCAGACATTAATATCCATTACGTTTAACGTAAACGTAGTTCCTCATTTGTGTCATCCTGCCTTTATCAATATTTTTAATTTAAGTGTAATTGATCATGGCCTTGCAGCCATAGGCATTACAAGACTTAATAAACTGCGGGTTTCTGTGGCAATGTGAGTGAAATTAAAGTTAAAATAAATACTGTAGTTCGAGTGTCATTCGAGTGTCTTTGATGAGGTTTCGAATATCAATTATAATCAATTGCTTTGATATCACGTGATCCTAACAATCGCAGAGAACATCAGCTTAATTGCGGTATGTGATTAACGTCACGAATATGACATTGGATGTTTTTTTTTAACGAGCTAAATCATTCGTTATACATTCATCCAATCGCATGGAGATATGAAATTTTTCACTTTTATTTTTACAACCTGAATTCCCTTTCGCCATGTTCGCTCTTGTTTGAGAATACTCAATTCAATTGTTTTAATCCTTTTCTACACGATTACAATTATCACATTACCTGTGAGAATCCAATATTATAATTCTTTGCTATACTCTATATTCAATGTGAATTGAATCGAAATAAATTGAGTCCATTCTGAAGTTACGAGCTATGGTGGAAAAGAAAAGAGACCTACTTGAAACAAAAATGACACAAAGCAAAACAAAGGCCTTAAAATGTTTTTAATCTGTTTAAGATATAACAACATTTGTATGATAAGATAGCAGCAAATCATGGCTGGCCAATGATGTATCTTGCTTGGAAAACGTATAATTTATGCGCACAACATGTATGAAGTGGCTGGCATAAAGAGAAAGATGGGCAGTGAAAGTGATACTTATAATTTGTTTTACTTGACGAGAGGGCCATGACAATAATAATTAGTATTCTAAATTACTTCCAAAAACTCGACATGCTCGAGGTCCATAATCAAGCTACATACAACTTATCAGCATACTAGTTAACTGGTTGAATACCTACTTTGTTTTGGGGTTTTGTATATCTGATCCTTCTAATCATATTGGTTTAAGTTGACGACCTTTCAGTAAAAAGACATTAAACCGTAGCTTCCGGCAGCTCTCTTGTTCAAATTTCCATTTCTTTGGCATTTTCTCCATATATCGCACTATGCTCAGACATCATACCTCTCACTTTATATCTTACATTGTAATTTGTATATTGTTCTCTCTAAAATACTTATCTGGGCTTGTATCATTGTGTATGTGACTACATGAATATACTTTGGACACGATAACAATGACATAGATAAACAACATGGTCAGTGTAACATTGTATGATCTAGGAATCATAATTTATTATAATAATATATCAATATACATTCTACATGATATTACTTTTTCATACCAGGTAGCAAAGTCACAGTGACGTACAACAAGAAAACACAATGTATGTTAATGAAAAATTTTCAATCTATAGACTTGACGCTTGAGTGGTCTTGTCTTACGTATAGGAATAAATTATTTTTTTAGATGAGAACGGGCCCTTTGTTTGGGGAGTGGGTATATGCATTTTTTTTTTTTTTTTGCGCCTGCTCACTTTTCACTCGCCGCCCAAAATACGCTCGGTGCCTGGGCGGTCGCCGCCCGGGCACCGACCTAATCGCTGGGCGATGCCTAAATTCCAGCAGCGACCTGCTGCTCTGATTTGTGACCATAGCTTAAGTTTACAATGTACAATCCGATTCACTCGTTCTTTAGATATATTGTATCAACACTGAGTATTTGCAGTTGAATGTACACACACAATGATCATTTTACAATTTAAGTGATTCCATTTTCATACAACATGATTCAACTTAATTTTTAAAACAAAAATAATTCATCGTATTGATAAATGCAGCTATGTATGATATCAAACATATCGGTTCTCCTCCACCTCAATGTAACCATCATCCTCACTGTTATCCTGTTCTGAACTTTGATTTCCAGAACGGCGTAAACACGTTGAATAGTACACTGTGGGGGCTGCAGGGTCCGTTGAAACCCCGAAGATATCTCGATGTACAGGTCCGGATATGTGTGCAGAGAAACCTTTGGTGTCAGATCTTCTTGAAGAGCCACTTCCACCCTGGTGGACTGGGATAGGTATACGGGAAGAATAATAAACTTTGCTCTTAGGGGTTGTTGAAGTCTCACTTTTATCCTTGGACTGCGATATCGGTAAACACGAAGAGTAATACACCTTTGACCCAGGACTTGGCAAGCCTTGTGTTTCAGGTTCTCCAATCATGTACCCATCGGCACCTACTCTGCTCGCCATAAGCAGATCCATGGGTTTACGTTGGGTCATCTCAGGGTAGTTGTACTCGGGGTACTCGTCGGATGATCTGCTCCTTGAAGAAACCTCTTGGCCCAAGACCAGATACTCGTGAGCTAGTACAGTACCTGTTGTAGGTACAGAACTTCCGCCAAGGTCAGGCTCTTCGTAGATGCCATCCTTCACTTCTGTACCTGATGACGCCGCTGCTGTTGCACCTGCTTGTAGAATCTCTGGAAGCTTTGGCATTGCCCCAAGCGGTTGGTATTGCGTTCCTGTTGCCACTCGGTCATCTCTGTCTTGGACACGGTTATCCTGAACGCTCATCCGGTGACGCTCCGTGTTAATTTTTTCTCTGCATTTTTTAGTTATAACTGTTACCAATACGCCTGCAACGACAATGGCTACTGCAAAGTAGATTGTGCCGAATGGTGGTGATGGGGGATCTGTAGGAAGAAAAAAGAAGAGGTGATAGGTATTGACATATTGCTCACACTTTTGAAGACCGCACAAAGGTATTTTTTTTAAATGAGGATGTGTTATAAAAAATGTAGGTTATTCTAAAGATATAACACTATTAATTTGAAAGTAAATTAATCATAATTCCCTAAATATTGGAATGTGCATGGTTCTCCTGGTGATAAAAGTTTGTTTCTCGGTGGACTTGTGTACTTTCTGTGCACTTTCTCACAATAAAACATGAAAACAAAACGAAGTCACACAATGTAAACTGTTATAAATGTGTACTTTTATAAGCCTTTATTTATGAAGCGAATTGCATCTCAAAACCATCAATAGTCAGAAAATAGTCTTATAATAAAAGTAACCAAGTTGTGAAAAAACAGGCGTGGAAATGAATAG